ACGGTAGGACGATCCAGGACAATAACACCACCACACCTTTCAGTATCAGCGACAGGCAGACTCACCCCAATGGGGGAGCACCTCTCCACGAACTTCAGCAGCTGGGACTTGGCTGTCCCTGGGTCCCCGAGCATCAACAAGTTGATGTCCCCCCTCCGGGTCAGGCCATCTGGCAGCCTGACAGAACACAGAGCGGGAGGTTAGGCCCCCCCCTGCTTCATGTGGCAACTCCTGCCCCCGCTGAGATCAGACGCGGTACGGCACATGGCGCGGCTGCCGGGGGGCTTCCCCCGGCGACGACGTCACCGAAACGCACCTCTTCCTGGAGCCGCCGAACAGCAGGCACGCGATGGCCTTCTTCAGGTCGTCGCTGCCGTAGATGGACGGAGCCAGGGACCGAGCCAGCGCCTGGTACACTGAGGGTGAGGCGGCCAGCGTCCGCAGCTGCTCCTCCTCCTCCGGGGTCACGGACCCCGAGCCACCCCGGCCTGGGGGCATCAGGGGCAAGCAACGTTTTTTAGTATAAGTAATAAAACAGGAAGTACAAAGAAAACATAAAATTGCCTATTAAAAGTACAAATTACGTACAGTGCCAGTCAAAAGTCTGGATACACCTGCATTCAATGTCTCAATTTCAGCAACGTTATTCACAGTACAGAAAAAGGTCTTCAGCAATGAAGTGATACATAGTGAGACGTGTGCAACATCTCAAAATATTCTCAAATTTTAGACACTATAAAAAAAAACTTCTTGACTTCGATGACAGTATTGACTCTTGGCATTGTTTCACACGGCAATTTGACTAACTCATCTGACACCTTTATCCAAAGCGGCTTACAGTAGAGAAGAAAAAAAAAACGTGCTCCCTGGGATTAGAACCCATGACCTTGGCATTATTAGCACAATACTCTATTTGCTAAGGTACAGGAACTAATCACCTGAAATGCTTCTCCAACAGTCCTGAAGGACTGTCCACAAGTTCTGGGTACAAGTTCGCTACCCTGCTCTTCCATTCAACTCATCCCAAACCAGCTCTGTAGGGTTTAGGTCAGGGAATTGTGGGGGCAGGTCATCACAGCACTCCATATCTGCTTGTCCACAAGATAATACTACATAACCTCGGTGTGTGCTTGGGGTCGATATCATGTTGAAAAACAAATGATCTTCAGCAGAAATGCCCAGACTTATGACTGGTACTGCATACGCACAGCGGTGAGTACCCAGCGGGCACCAGCACGCCCTTTCCGCCATACCTGCTCCTTCAGTGTCCACCTGGATGCCCACGACACGCAAGTAGGATGAGCGGATGCCAACGCCGGCGGCTCTGTCCCGGCCGCGCCGCTGGGTCTTGGCCGGAGCCCCTTTCTTGATGGAGTAGATGCCCATAACGGTCACCCTGTTTCCAGGCACCACACGGTCACACAGGTACCTGAAGGAAAACAGGACAGTAGAGTCAGGGTCAGACGCCCCACCGGGATTTCCAGTACTACAGATCATCATTCTGAAACATCAGTCCAGCCTGTCATTATAAGTCTGATTTAAGTTAGGTTTTTATTTTTTCATATATATGGATATATATACACACATTACGTACTAATGTTCTCAACACGGGCAAACTAGGTTCTTGGTATTAACAGTTTACAAGTAACTTGGCAATAAACCAGTTAAAAAAAAAAAGGGAAACTATTCAATGCTCATTTTTATTTTGTTAGTTTCAGGTGTAATATTTCAAATTTTTGTTTAGTTTTGTCTTTATTTCAGTTTACAAATTTTGTTATAGGTTTTAGTTTTCGTTAACGGTAATAAGCCTGTCCAGCAGGGGGCAGAGGAGGCCCACCTGTCGCAGTAGAGCTGCAGGTGTCGGGGCATTTCCCCGTGAGGCACGGCGTCGGGCGACTCCTGCAGCCGCAGCATCTGGAAGTCGATGCACACGCAGCGGTCTGGGAGGATGAAATAGGGGTCCACGGGGCACTTCACCCTGCCGGCCTGCTCGCTGTGGGGCCGAGAGACAGACGAGGAGGCTGTCAGCACCTCGCGGGTCACGCACCGGGCCCCCGCACAGGGAACGGGACTCACGCGTTGCACTTGCGAGGCAGGGCATAGCCCTGGAGCCCCGGCGGCAGAGGGATGTTGCTGATGACCGAGCGACACCCCCGGCACTGCAGGCACACCTTGGTGGCCTTGGCTCGCACCGCCGTGGTGGAGATTACGATCCCTGGGACCTTGACCAGCCTGGACACCTGATCCGACTGGGAAAACAGGAATGACATTTTAAAAAAATTATTATTTCCTCAAACACTCTTTGAATTTGCCTTCTTGACACAGGGAATCAGAATCAGAAATTATATCCAAGAGAGAAATGTTACCTGCCCTAAATAAAATGTACAAAGAAATCTATAGTGGGACTGAATTTCAAAATCTTCAATGCAGATCAGTTGTCCCTGTAGTCCTTTCCTTACTTATGCAATATTATTATTACTCAGTTACAAGGCTCCCATCTCACCTTGAGGTTTCGGATGGAGGCTGCGTGGGCATCGCTCTTCAGCATGACCTGGATGTCCTGTACCTGCTCTTCTCCGACGGGCCGCGGCCTGGTGACCTCGTCTGCCACGTCCTGCGCCGCCTCCTCAAGCTGTCGACGTGAGCTCGGAGTCAATGGCGAACAACCGAAACATTTCCGCAAACAGGCCCGTAACTAGTGACTAGCCGCATCTTACCAGGGGGAGGTTTTCTGAAGGGAGCTTGTAGAGACAGTCGGACAACTCCTCGTCGAAGCTGGCCAAGTCCTCCATTTCCACCTCCACCCAATATTCTCCCAACGTGTAATGCCGTTTGAGTTCATCTCTAAAAATGGATTTCCAAAACTAATATTAAAGACGGAAGCGTTTTAGCACAGCTGTCGCATCCATTAAAAATAAATGGCGTCTTACTTAGAGAATGATTGCTCTTCCAACATTAAGAGTCATATGTAACAGACTGTAATAAGACTTAGTTTCTCAAAGATTTGTGGTAGCGCAAATCAACGTGACAAAGAACACAAGACACGCAACGACCTCCAAATGAGAATAAAGTCTATCAAAGTCAGTCAATTCAAATTACAGTAAGCATTAATGAGAACAACACTTCTTACCGGTATTTATAGGTGAACCCCGTTCGATCAGTGCCGACTCGAAACTGTCTTAGAAACTCCTTGAATCTTTTTTTAATTTGGCTTCTCTTTACTCCGTCGTCTGCCGGTCCTTCTGGACCGCCAAAGCTGTCACTAAAGAATACTCCTGGGTCATCAAAACCAGACATCCTGCACCACTTTCACCTATTTACTATCAAATAGTTAAATAATCAATAAACTTTGTCGTTACTGTTATGTCGACTACCGAAGCGCAAGCCTGTCTGTAGTCACAATTGATACAAAAAAGCTTCGCAGGACTACTGTTATTTCAACAAGTCGTCCTCTGGATTACGAACTTTATGTTTACTAACACACGTAATAACTACCCGTCGTATAAGAATATATAAAATTAATATAAACATACACAAACTCTCCGGATAAACTCAGACAATGACTTTCCCGCAACTTCCTCGCAGAAAATTTCGCGGCAAACTTCACGTCTGCTTCCTCCGTAGGCCCATCCCACCCATAGACCTGCTTTAGTGATTGACTAAACGGATCCCAGCTTAGTGATGATTGGCTGGCTGCATTTCGCGGGCGCCAGATTAAACGCCCACTGAACTCTGGGGGGGTTGTGCTTAAGGAATATTGGTGGCGGGAAAGTAACTAAGAGGACTGCTAAGGTCCTGGAAGTACCCTAAATTATTAAGAAATACATCGTTCACGTATTTATATATTTAACCTGAAAGATACATAGTACCTTCACAGGTACGAAGCTTTATATGTGACCACATAAGATTTCTATTATGTAATAGTAAAATTGAAATGACTAATTCATTAAACATTTTAAAATAAATGCACGAATCTTTGTATTGTATAAAATTAAGTGTCCGGTATCGCCTATAGTGTCTCCAATATTGCATTAGAGCAGTGTTTCTCAACCCAGTCCTCAGAGAACGCCAGCCAGTCCACGTTTTTGCTCCCAGCCAATCAGGAACACCGAATAGCTGGTACAGGTGAGCTGGAAGGAAGCAAAAACGTGGACTGGCTGGGGTTCGCTGAGGACTGGGTTGAGAAACACTGCATTAGAGGAACAATGACCAATATAAACTCATACATTGATTCACTGAAAAATTTTAGCACTTTTTTTGGCAGGTCAGGTAGCACAATTAGTATCACTGATACTTTAAGAATTTTTGGATAAGGAGTTTTCACAACGGATGGATGGTGCACTACAAAAGTTAATATTTGGATTGCGGCTTCACAATGGGAGGTTTCACTCTATGCGCGTGGAGTTAGCATGTTCTCATACTGCGCAGGATTCTTCCTGCACCCAAAGACATGAAATTAGGATAATTCACTTCTCTAAATTTCCCTTTGTGTGTATTTTCTCCCGATATCCAGGGGGAAAAGAGTTTTAATGTTTACATTTTGGTTTGACAGCAAGAGGAAGTTAGTAAGCAATTAAAGTCATGACTATTGTTATGTTGTTTCATAAAGAAGAAACAGAAGAATAAGTATACTGTCCTCTACAGCAGTGTTTCTCTACCCAGTCCTCAGGAACTTCCAGAGAGTCTACATTTTGTAGGAGGAAGCAAAAACATGGATTGTCTGGGTGCCCCCCGAGAACCTGCTTGAGAAGCACTGCTGTAGAGGCCTAAGATGATCCTTGCTCGTGGAGAGGAGCATAGGCTCCCTGAGACAGACTGCTATCCCTTCCAGGCTGCACCCCAGCTTCATCTCCCGGGCAGCCTTTCCGGGACAGGCTGAGATGTTGAAATAAAGAAGCATTCAATTTTGGCTTTGGACAGCTAGAATGCTAGCCATTACTCTAAACCAGGGGTCTCCAACTCCGGTCCTGGAGAGCTACTATCCAGTAGGTTTTCTATGCTACCTGGCTTCTGATGAACCACACCAGGTAAATACCAGGAGCAGGTGTGGCTCATCAGAAGCCAGGTAGCATAGAAAACCTGCTGGATAGTAGCTCTCCAGGACCGGAGTTGGAGACCCCTGCTCTAAACAATAAGGGCATGAAAATTGATTAAAAATATCTAGTACTACAGAGACAGACAGATCATTTATCACCTCAGGGAAATTCATGTTAGGTCAATTTAGTATTTCTGCTTGACAGAGGAGGTGTGACTGTTTCACAATAAAAATCAGCAAGTTAATGCAGTAACTCCCCCCTCCAGCTTTGTTGTGAATGTTAATACTGACCCATATCGCACGGAATGACACACATGAAGTCCAATAAACAGAGGAGCTTTACAATTTTAATAAACTGCGTTACAATGATTACACATCTTCATTTACCAGTGGGAAAATCAAGACAGACTGAGACTGATCGATTCACTGCTACGTAACAGTCAGTCACTTGTCTATGTAGGTAACAGTCCTTATGTAGTTTCTGTCAACCACCCCTCTTCCTGCAGTTCCTGTACCACCTCTGTCTTTAAGGCACCACTCCATGCTTCCTCCCAACCTGTATGAAGCCACTGACGCAGCGGTCGATATCCGCGTCCGAGTGAGCGGCCGAGATCTGTACCCGGATGCGGGCCTTGCCCTTGGGTACCACCGGGTAAGAGAACCCGATCACGTACACTCCTACGGAGAGAGCAGACATATGCTCTTCACGTAATTACAGGGAACCCGATCACATAGACTCCTTCGGGGAGAAGAGGAAAATGCCGTTCACATATTTAGAGAGAACGCAATAACAGTCTGTAGATCAAACACCGTGACCAAGTCAATACAGAGACTGCAAATTTAATGAAAGTCAGAGCAGCCTGGAGACTAAAAACAGGTAAAAGCAGACATCTCAATGTACAATGAACAATGGAGATCGGCAATCGTACTGAATGTGCGGCATTATATAACAAACACAGACTGAAGGAGCTATTCACCCAATCTGCTCTGTGTATGAATTACTCTGATAATCCCTGTCTATTCTCACTTGGGGCACATAAGCTACAATCTTGCGGAGCAGTCCACTAAGGGCTGTGTGCCGAGGGGTGTCCAGCAGACTCACCCAGTTTCAGCATGTCCTCAGCCATCACAGTGGCTAGCCGTGCATCCCCCAGCATCACTGGGCAGATGGGATGGTTTGCGCCTGAGATAGTGAAGCCAGCCTTAGTCATCGATTCTCTGAACCTATGGAAAATATATTATGTTAAAAGAAGTCACAATAATTCAAGCTTATTTAAAGATTATTGCACATTTAACTTTGGGTAAAGTATTATAAAAATTTTAATGCATATAGTTTCACTAAGTTTATTACCTACATATTATTGCCCCCCCCCTGCATTTACCTCTTGGTCTTGGCCGCCATACTCTGTGCAATCTCATTGGACTGGAGCAGAAGCTCAATGGCACGGGCAGAGCAGCCCACCACCGGAGGGGGGAGGGAGTTGGAGAAGAGGTACGGGCGCGAACGCTGCCGCAGGAGGTCGATCAAGGTTTTGGGACCCACCGTGTAACCCCCTGAGCAAGAGAGAGTATATAATGTATATTATACATATACAACAACATATATAACATATAATGATGTAATATATCACAAAACACCCATATAAAGGGGTGACTGTTGTGAAAGGCACTATATAAAAATAAATTGAATAGAATATACAGATTCAGTGGATGATGTGACATGGAAGAGTATAAAAACATAACTGCATCTAAACATGATTCATGCAGCTTTAAGAAAACTCAAGACCACTGGACACACAGTACTGTGCAAAAGTCTTAGGCAGGCAAAGAAAACGATGTTTAAATGATCTTCATGTTGGTGTAAAACTATGATGCCTGTCAAAGTGTGTCAGCTTAGCCATTGCAAAACCTCTGCTAAAGTCACCCCAGTACATACAGCAACCCTCATATACACCCATGAATGTTTTGACTTGACCATTAGCATAGCATGCATGACTAATACACACCTCATTGACTTTTTTTAAACTAATTAATTACTTGAGCTGGTGGTGAAATTTAACAAATACATGGAATGGCTGAGGTGTTCATCTAGCCGTCCTGCAAGATATCAATAACTTTTTGGAGAACAGAAGATATTCTTGTTAGTTTTTATTGTTACTGTTTGCATATGTTCTCATGTTACATTGTGTTTTTTTCCCCAGCAAATATAGACTTATTACCCAGATAAAAAGCTTTAAACATTTTCCTTGACTTCCTTGCATACTACTGCGTATCGTAAAAACTGCTGACCATGCAAACAGTATTTGCACAGTTGCAAGATCCTGACTCTTACCAGCTGCACCCCCCAGGGCCTTGCCCAGGGTGGAGTTGACGATGTGCACCCTGTCCATCACTCCCAGCAGCTCATCTGTGCCCCTGCAGGGCAGCAATGAGGAAGTAACTCACGAGGGCAAGTGCACATCAGCTACGCCTGCTTGGAGGTGTGGCCGAGAGCCGCCAGCATGCGGGGACAGCGCCCCCTGCAGCATTCAAGTGTCAAACGCAAAAGACGACTCACTCACCGGCCTCTAGGACCCATAAAGCCAGTGGCATGGCACTCGTCGATAAAAACCATCGCTCCGTATCGCTCGGCGAGGTCACAGATCCCAACCAGGGGCGCAATGTCGCCGTCCATCGAAAAGACGCCATCGGTCACGACGAGCCGCAACCTGGAGGACTAACGAGCAGCGGCGAAAAGTGGCCATTTAAGGACGCAAGTGAATTTTAACTACTCTTATTCCACTGTTATTTAGACATGTCACCGTGTCTTCTGTTTCACCTGCGACTCCTTCAGCTTCTCCTCCAGGTCATTGAGATCCATGTGCCGATAGCGGAACCTCCGAGCTCGGCACAGCCGGATCCCGTCGATGATGGAGGCGTGGTTCAGCTCGTCGGACAAAACCGCATCGTCGGGCCCCAGGAGGACCTGAGAGAGAGCAGCAGAGACAAACACAAAACGTAACATACAGAATCACAGAGCACCATATAAAGGGGGTGGAGCCATAGACAGGAGGACAGAGCTGGGTGCCAGTTACCTCAAAGAGGCCCGCGTTGGCGTCGAAACAGCTGGCATACAGGATGGCATCCTCCCGCTCATGGAACTGGGCGATTTTCTGCTCCAGCTGCTTGTGAAGGTCCTGAGGGTTGAGAGAAGATCTGACACATTCTCTGCAAGTCTGGGGTCATACTTCAAGGCTTCAGCCCCCACTTCCATCACTTCGAGGTGATGGAGGGACCCATATATGCCATGGAGTGGCACTCTTGATAAAAACCATTCCTCTGTATCACTCAGCAGGCAAAGCGAGTCCCACGCAGTGTGTGTCGAAACCACATATAGCTGCTAGCATAGACGCGTGACGATATTTTGAGGTGCTTAAAGTCAGAACGACCAATAGACTTTACTTTAGTTCTTTTGTATGGTCGGAAGCTATCACCAGCTAAAAATAATATGAAAAGCATTTTCGGTGCTGGTTCGGACAATTGCGAGATAATTAACATAACGCTATGTTTGTCTGACAAAAACTACATAGCGATAGGCAGACAGTCCTACTTACCACCAACAACCAGAGGGGTGCCTCAGCACCCCTATGTCCAGCGCTATTTGTTGTTAGACAATATCTCCTGGACTTACCTGCGTACCACAGATAAACCTCACGGAGCTGAGCCCGGCACCATACTTCTTCAAGGCTTCAACTCCAGCATCGATCACCTCGGGGTGACTGGAGAGACCCAAGTAGTTGTTCGCACAGAAGTTCAGTATGTCTGAAAGCGCAAATGGAGGGAAGCGGGGGGACGGATTTATTGGTGTTTCTGTAATAGTAATTTATGTTTAGCCATATATGGCATTTATATATTTATACCCTCTACTTGAGTGTGTATCTTTATATTTGCTCTACGGGAAATCACAGAAGAAGACATGTGAATCGAGTCATAATCGTGACTATTCATGGACAGCTGCTGATTAACGAAGAGGAAGGAAGCAGGATCGGTCAGAACGAAACAAAGCAAAAGTGAGTGAAAGTTCCCAAGCATGAATAGCACTGAATGCACAAAAGACAGCTGCACAGAAAACCTGATCACAACTAGTGTCCTACCGCCACGACTCCCATCCACATTGATACGCGGTCCTTGTTTGGATGTGATCACTCTCTCGCCTTTCCACGTCCCTGCAACTCGGATCGACTCAAGTTCGCTTTCCAACACCAACTTTGCTTCGGCAAGAGCGGCGTATTTCCTATTTGAGTTTAGCAAGGGGCTTAAAATACCCCTTACCTGGTAGTTTACTTTAAAAACGGTCGTTCGGAACAGCATGGCGACAGACAGTCAAACTCTGTTCGCTGCGGAGGCGTTACCAAATAGCGACGATGTGACCAGTGCGCCAATAGCGTGCGTGGGCGTGACAATGAAACCAATCATGTCCACCGAAGACAAAAATGTCAGCGGTTCCGACCAATCATAAATTAATATATCGGCGACACCCCTTTTTAAATGCCACTTAACCCAATATTTAACTTTACTGTTACTTTTGGTCATATGCCTTTCTAAGCCTGCTTCAGTTGTACATTAACTGTTATGCAGTGTCTCTCTCAATGACTCTTACTGAAGACTGAAAGTAAAAAAGTCGTTATGACTTTCAGCACCGAGCTCAAAATTTTTTTTATGCGTTATGTAACAACCAATGCTTATCTCGTCTATCATTCACGTGTGACTGTATCAGTACGCAATTTTAAACTTTTTTAAGCATTAGCTTAATAATATATTAGACATATAAAAGATATTACATTCCGTTTTATTGATGAGCTCCCTTGAAGATCTCATGAATAAGACGGATAATCGATATCATGTACATAATGTGCATCGTTGCGGTAGGGATACAGCCGAATTACTCAGAACAGATGTTTCTAAACTTGACTTCAGTAATATAAGAAAGGGTTACCAGAAAAATTCTGTAAATTCATTATATCTAAAGTTTATTTTTTTGTTTTAATAAAACACTTCAATATAACAAACACAACTGAGCAATAATTAACACAATAATTAACACACTAACTCTTTATAAGGCAAATACAGACTGTTGATTCAACTTTTTCAAGCACTAAAATATATATTACCCTTAAAATATAACTCATTTAGCTTAATTATATCAGTTCTATTTTATTTTTCACTCACTTATATTGTAGTAACAGCAATAAATTATTTCATTGTAATGTTTCATTGGTTAAAGGAAAACGAAGGACGTGCACCTGTGAGGGTAGTATTGTAACAACCAATCGAGGGAACATAATTTTTCATGCAACGTGCTGCCATCCAGTGGTAACGTTTGGAGTATGCCATTTTTAGTGAAAAAAATCCGACTCAAATTGCATTATTCATGTGTTGTCGCAAGATGGCATCACGCCTAACGAAAACCTACTATCCCACATGCGAATAATCTTTTTCTTTGTGCCATTACTAAATGTACATTTTTGACCTTTTGTCTAAAGTCATCCTGTTCATATTTAACTTAATCAGTTTTCAGAACTGTCTGGGAAATAATCTTGACCTTTTATGAATGCAAGGTTATGGAGAACCATGACTGTAATCAGGATGAGGTTCGAGACATGACTCTAAGAAAGTATGGTGCTCATTTAACCATAATAACTTGTTTTCCTCTCTGATAAAAGGTGCCTGTCATGGAACTCTCAGGATCCTGTGTCAGTATCACGACGCCCGTCTTTCTGGTGCCAAACATTTTTGCCAGTTCGTCTCTAACCGCTCCAAGCTGCTCAAAGCATGAAGTCATGTGACTGCGGGGGGGGCGGATCCGGCACCGGGGCCCCGAGGGACGGGAGGCGTTCGGCAGCCTTTGCTCTTTCCTCCAGAAACCTGTCGAACTCTGAAAGCCAAGAAGACGGCAGCAGCTTAAAAACGTGTGAGAGATGTGGGTGAGACACGCAGCGCATAATGACGGTGGAATTACAGGCTACGGAGACACTGACGCCACCCACTTAGTTTCATGGCAGAAAATGATTAAAACTGCCGAAAAACAACAACTCACCCTCGCTGGTCACGCCCTCGCCCTCAGTCAACTCTCCCTCCTGAGGGACAAATGGGTATATTATCAGCATCAGCTTATGGCTACGATTCACCAAATTTACATAACACGACCCACCAGCATCCCTTAAAGGTACAGAAGTGGGCAGCACTGGTAGAAAGGCCCGGAACGGCAAATAATCCACATAAACACATAAACAGAGGGAGGAACTGAATGTTGAGAAACAGATGTTCGTGCACAATGCATGTCAATCGTAGGCTAATGAAATGAGTCTAACAGGTTAAAATTTCAGCAGCTAGATCCCTAAGGCCTCAGCCTATTTTCCTGTTTCCTTGGCAACAGTAAAAAAATAAAAGGACAGTGTCATAAGTCATAAGTGCAACTATTCAGAAGCAAATAACAAAAGTTCAACTTAAACTACAGAGGGAAGCCTCACCATATCAGCATCTAGCCATTTCTCAATATCCTCCATTGCGTCTGTCTGACTCACTGGAATCTGGGGGGGGGGGGGGGGCAGAGGCACCATTATTTTTCCTTCTACAGTTAATCACAGTGCTACTGCAAAACCCCAGCATTGTTATTTATTATTTACCAGGTAATTAGCCCTGGTTTGCTACTGCAAAATTCTGCAAATCTGCATGCACACAATTACAAAGCAGATCAGACCCTATTCATGCTTTATTTCCCGTATCTTTGAGCACTACCCACCATTCCCTTTGCCACCATCCAATCAAAATTAGGGGAGGAGCCAAGGATGACGGATTCCACGTTGACGTCCTTGTGGCAGACAGACAGACAGACAGACAGTTTATTAACATTCTGCCTGGATTCATATGACACATTACACTAAAAGAGAAGTACAGACCAACACACAGATAGACACTCCATATAAATCATAAGATGGTGCATGAATCAACATACACGGGCATAACACCAGAATCTGTTTGTATAATTTGACTGGCATAATAATTGTTAATAATTCCTACTCTTAGCCTAATGTAATCTGCCATTCAGTTTCCGCTCACTATATTATTATGTTATATTAATAAGACAATCATCTTTTGGGCTACAAACCTCTCCATTGTTCTGCAGTCTGGTCTCTGGAGCCTCAGTCAGTGACTTCTCTACCCCCGTGATGTCACGCTTCTCACTGCAACATACGCAAACCTGTAAGCCTAAGTGGCTGTGAGCTCCTGGGCTACTGTCTGTGGTGGTTGGGGTGAGTCCCTTCCGCAACATGTCCCATTAGGTCACCAGCTGCCTAGGAATTTGACATGACCGCCTCTAACTGTCGTCACTAATTTAGCAGGATGACTTCATTGTACAGTTCAAAGTTCAATCATTACTGTACTGCAGTGTTTCCCAAACTGGTCCTGGGGGACCCACAGATGGTCCATGTTTTCGCTGCCTTCCAGCTCCCTGTCACTGTCCACATTTCTGGAGCTGGTAGGCAGCAAAAACATGGGCTGTCTGCGGGTCCCTGAGAACTGGATTGGGAAACACTGTTCAACTGGCAACATCACCTGTCCACAACACCTCCTACCTGAGCTGAGAATTATTACTGCCCTGAGCAGATATGGAAAGGTCATCTTCTCTGGTATCTTTCAGAGGGTGGAACAAAGAGAAACACATTAATATACATGTCTGGAGCATGCATGCAGGCTGACATCAGCAGAAGATCACCACTTACTCAGGCCAGCCATTAGACTGGGGAGCGTGCTCACAGTAGATTGGCTGGCGGGCTGGTGGGCGGGAGCAGTAGGGACAGCTGATTGGCTGAAAGCGCAGGGGGTGGTACTGAGCTCAAAAAGATTGCCGTAGGTAGTATCAGAGGCCTGGGAATGAAATGGAAAAAAAGTGTGGAATGAAGACATTTATACATACTGTGAAAAAAGGAAATGACGACAATGCAGCTTCACCTGCTCTGCAGTACTCTGTCCGTCGCAGTGTTTCATAAACCTGACAGGAGGCAAAACGCACAGGAGAGGGTGCATGTTACACATGTGCTGTATTTTCAAGGCTCTTGGCCACATGCTAAGTCCAGAGGAGATAAAAACGCAGCGAGCACCGGCTGTAGGAGACGAAGGTGGCGTTGAGCTCGTCGTTGGCCTTCAGGAGCTCCTCCATCAGGCTCTCCTCGCTGACCACTGGGATGAGCTGCACCACCCGGTCCTGCATGCCCTTACACACGGAGTACAGCTGCTACTGGCAGACAGGGAGAGCAGAGCAGGCAGGATGGTTTGTGCCAGCCGGGGGCACGGGAGCCCCCCCCCCCAGAGAGCTGACAGAACCGGCGGTGTCGGACCTGAAGCAGCTCCGTGTCTGCTGGGCGGGCCCGATCTGGCTCCAGCTGGCTCATCAGCGCCGACATCAGCATCAGGTTTCCTCGGCCCGTGTCCAGCTCAGCTCTCAGCTTCTCCACCTGAGATTCAGAATCTACATTCGTAACGCATCTCAGTCATGTGTACACTGGTGGTTCTAGACCATTTCAACCGGGGGGGGTCCAGACTGGGGCCAGTTGTTCTGTTAGGGGGTCCGGACCCATTTGAACTTAATGTCCTCCATGTATCACTGACACTAGACTGCCAGCATTAAGAAGCAAAAGACCATTTTGAAAACCAGAGTTATTTATGGAATGCTTTGCAGTTACATTTTACAGATTTTACCAATATTTAACACTAATTTCTTGTTCACACTCTCTTGTTTCCCACAAGCTTGATATTTTTTTCTGTCGTTAACTTCACGTTTCACCAACTGAAGTGACTCGACCACCCGACGTACCCGCATTAAGAGTCTGTTACGAAAACATGCTTACGATTGTTTCGCCTGCGCACAAAATTTTAGCCCACATATAAAAATGTAAAGGTAGCTGTAAATGATACTAACAACAATAATAATAACAACAACAATAACAATAATAACAATAATAATAACAATTATAACAACAACAACAACAATAATAATATTAATACGTTATCAGACCCAAGTAGCATATGTATTTAGGGGGGGCATGCATGTTGGCAGGGGGGCACTGGTCTCCCCTGACTCCCCCCCCCCCCCCCCCCAATCCAAGAACTGCCCCTGCATGTGTGGTGGCTGAGATGTCTGATGACTTTCATTATTGATGGACAATCATTATCTTTCTAGCATTTTGTTTTTCAAGTATATCACAGGGTTCACCACGTAGAAAAGTTCACCGATAGATATGAAAATAAAAATGCCCCAGAAAGAAAGGAAACAGAATATCTAGTTCTGCTCTAGGTCTACAATAACTACACCTCTCGCCGGATGAGGTCACATGTTTAGGTAATAAGGAAAGAGTTACCTCACTGTTCAGGGGTGAGACCG